CCCTGCCCCGTTTCCTTTGTCTTGCGAAGTTGCCCCCCCCCCCTGGGGCAACACCTATCTGGCGCAGCTTCCCATTGGCCTCATCAAGGATCGTCGCAATTGGACCGACAAGGAGTTGGATAGCAGGCAACTCGCACTTGGCAGAGCGTGAGTGTCTGTACGCAGTTCTTCACGAGCACATCTGACCCCGAGTGCGAGGGTGGAGAATGACCATGGCCCATAATCACGCAGGCAGCTGGCACGTAGTTTAGATTTTGTTAGGTGTTTCTTATCGTGGTTTTTTCCCATAAATAACCTATTTTAATTTCTGTCATTTTCCTTTGTTTTCACGTGTTAGGCACGCTCTATTTGTGATTGATTTGATGACCTGTGCGATTGGTGTAGTAGATGGGTACGCCTAGTCAAATTTCCGTTATTGATTAGTATGTAGACCCCCTGTGCTGCCCGCAGTTGTGATAAGATGAAAGAGGGCGCACGATCGTACCTCAAACTGAAGGAGTAGGAGGGGGCGCAGAGACTAAATGTTTAGGATGCGACAGGTGAGCGCAGAAACCCGCTGAAAGTAAGGGGATGAGGACGCAGGCGTTGCTGCGTGGCACCAAGGTTGTCACTGGATTAGACCCCCTTCGACGCCAAAGGCCCAATACGACGCCAAGCCCACATGGCACCTGGTGCGCCTGGCAGACCACCGATCGCAATATCCACACGAGAGCTACAAAGGAAATGTCGAAATGTCCTTCGGGAGACTACAAAGGAAATGCACCGCACTCGTCAAACTTGCATTCGCTTGTTCACGTCGCCTTAAAAAACGGATTATTTTGCAAATGGATAACCATAATCTTTTCGCAGCTTACCGTATCGCATTTGCCATTGCCATCACAACTTTTTTTCACTCACGCGCAGAATACAAATGGCTCGTGCCTCGCCAGGGCAGCTACGCGGCTCTCCCAGAGTTTCGGAGCTCCTTGCGAGGCAACAACGCAGTTTCCTTTCAGTTTTTTCTTTCTCTCATATTCACTTACAAGAGGTAGTATAACGCGCAGAAGACTCTTCTACGCACGGGGGGGGGGGTTGCGGTGGGAGACCGCTCCGTTTTTTCGCACAGTCCCGGATACTCCACGTGCCACTCTTGTCGGCCCCTAGGATTCTTCCGCAGACGTCGTGAGGAAAAACTCCCATCCTCCCCACACTTTGTTCACCCGAGGGAGCACGGAAAACGTTGCTCCACGGTAAAACCAACCCCTTTTTTCGCTCACGTCAACAACAATCGCCTTCAATTCATTCGCACTGCACCTCACCACCAGGAACTGTAGATGCTGCCTCGCCATCCAACCGACAAGAAGCAGGAGCCGTGTTCGACCACTGGAAACCGACACAGATCTCACCCTCACTTTGCCACTGTCCAGTGTGATCCATATGATGTTTTGCATCGTATTATTTGCTCTTGACTAACAACTACTGCATTGAAATATCTCCGGCCCCCCATCACAGCTAACACCCCCCCCCCCCCAGCTGGCCTGCAAACGTGCGATCGGCCCAGGGACGCATGTCGACTTAGGCCCCACGGGTAGGCGTCGATTTCTGACGGGTATATACATATGGTTAGGTAGGGGGACTATCACTACTGCGGCGCGAGCGTTCTTCTTTTGCCGTCCCCAGTGTCGTGACTTCGCACGACTTCATTGCACAGTCCGCCCTCACGTCCGTTACACACTGTTACACGCGCAACTACCAGCCGGAACGGAGTGGTTAAAGGGCCGCCTTCAGTCCCATAGGTAGTTGGATCGAAGTCTACCGTGTATCGCCCGTGTCTACCACCTACGAATCCGAAGCTCATCCTTGCCCTCACTCCCGTCCCGTTCCCGACCCTGCCCCGTTTCATTCGTCTTGCCAAGTTGCCACTCTGGGGCAAATCCTATCTGGCGCAGCTTCCCATTCGTCCCATTACGCTTGGATCGTCGCAATTGGACCGGCAACGAGTTGGATCACAGGCTGTTCGCACTCCTCTGGCGGAGCGTGAGTGTCTGTGACACAGGTCCTCGCATCTGACCACGAGTGCGAAGGTGGAGTGATGGCCCATAATGACGCAGGCAGCTGGCGCGTAGGTTTGGATTTCGATTTTATCGCCTGAACTGTTCCAACTTCCAAAACATTTATAGTTCACAAGTCGAGTTCAAACAACGAAGAAAAGAAAACAGAAAGAAACTCACCTAGAAACCAAAACATTAATCATTTTACGCAACATCAACAGGTGAAAACGTTATAATATAACGTTATAATATATAGTATACCCCATGTATAAGCTCGACGAATGAAAAAAGAAACAATAAAAACCTACCCTAAATGAAGCTCTCACGCTTTTTGCTCATTTCTATCCTGAATCAAGAAAGAAAATAGAAAACAAAAGCCATTAAGTTGGGTTCACCTTTCTTTGTGTAAAACCAAGCTTCAGTATCTAAGAGAATCACAGTTAAAGGAAAAAAAAGCATGAAACTGAGTCGCCTTTCCCTAAAAGCCTTCAGAGCGATCCAAGTAATAGCGTTTGGGCGCGCTCTGCCATGTACCGACGATCGCCGCTTGTCGCGAAGTATGAACGCTGCCTAAGGGGTTTGAATACTGAGCAATAAAGGGGTCCTAACTAGGGCTACCCACTACTACATCAGTCATGCAAACTAATAAATCAATCACAAATAGAGCGTGCCTAACACGTGAAAACAAAGGAAAATAACAGAAATTAACCACGATAAGAAACACCTAACAAAAATAAACCTACGTGCCAGCTGCCTGCGTTATATGGGCCATGGTCATTCTCCACCCTCGCACTCGGAGTCAGATGTGCTCGTGAGGACCTGCGTCATGCCGTCTCACGAAAATGACGCAGTGGTTTTTAGATTTAGCCGGCTGTGGGTTAGAATGTGTGTGTTGCCTAGAGTTTTGTGGGTTTTCTTTGCTAATGTAAAGGCCAAGAACGATTTTTACGCGTCGAATCCAAACTGTGGGGTGTAGTTGGTCGTCGTACCGCGATAGGACCCCGTACGCTAGAACTTTGCAGTGGCTTTGATGCGAGCATCCTCTTGTTGTTGAAAGACTTGTGTCGTTGAGGACTCTGGCCATGAGTCTCTCGCGGTGCTTTATTGAGAGACGAAGTTGGCCTTGAGACGGTCAATCCACAAGGGAGCGATAGACGGTGCGATCTATGCGGGGGAAGGTAAACTACGAAGGAATTCATAACTTATTAGCAGATTCTGGATAGAGTTCACTCCGGGCATAACACGCGAACCTGCACGGATGTTCTACTCGCTTAGTATTAGACGCAGTCTTCAATTTTGGCCTGCGAGCTATCTTCCTTGGGTCACGCCAGTTAAACTGGATCGGAGTCTACCGTGTATCGCCCATGTCTACACCTACGAGCCCGGAGCTCGTCCTGTGCCCTCACTAAGACCCTGCCCCGTTTCCTTCGTCTTGCAAAATTGCTCCCCCCCCCTGGGGCAAACACCTATCTGGCCGCAGCTTCCCATTGGCCCCATCAAGCATGGATCGTCGCAATTGGACCGACAAGGAGTTGGATCGCAGGCAACTCGCAATCCTCTGGCAGAGCGTGAGTGTCTGTGACGCAGTTCCTCACGAGCACATCTGACCCCGAGTGCGAGGGTGGAGAATGACCATGGCCCATAATCACGCAGGCAGCTGGCACGTAGTTTAGATTTTGTTAGGTGTTTCTTATCGTGGTTTTTCCCATAAATAACCTATTTTGATTTCTGTCATTTTCCTTTGTTTTCACGTGTTAGGCACGCCTATTTGTGATTGTTTTCGATGATCTGTGATCAGGGGATGCACAAACCCACATAAAGCACAAAAACCAGCGGCGAATCTACCCATTAACACAATTCTAATATAAAAACCCTTTTGTTTCCCATTAAACACGCAAATTTCATTTAAGAGCTCATCTCGGCGTTTAGGCACAACCCGGCCGCGGCGCCTACGCGCGAAGTAGCCGGTTTCAAACGCAGGCGGTGGTTTAGTTGAAAACACACCACAAGTTCATAAATTATAAGTAATAACCATGAACTACGTGCCTCCCACATTTGCCAACATGAGGCATATGTATTGAACCAAATTATTTGCTATCTGTGGAATTTCTTATTCTATAACTCGCAATTGTCTACCGTTCCCAGAAACGGTCAAAAAAAGTTTTGCTTCCCAATCGCACTTTACTCATTGATCTAGTTCATCTCAACTGTCAAAAAAGCTTAGATTTCTATCTTTCGCACTTGGCATTTCCGCTTTGTCGGAATGCAAATGCCCTTTTACCGCACCGCTGCCCGCAAAAAAAGCAATGTCTTCGCACTCCCAAAAAAAGGGATACCATTGTTCCCTTCGCTCTTGCTATTTTCGGGGAACTACAGGAAAAAACGCATTCGTCGAATTCGCAATTTTCAAGGTTTACATCACTTTGCGAAATGCATTATTTCGCAAAAGGACAACCTTTCTCGTGGCTCCCTCTTCATAGTCTACGCACTCGACCAGGCAGAAATCAATTCCGGCCCCCAAGGCTGCTACGCAGCTTTCTCTTCATAAGAGACGGCTACGGCATCACCGCAGGAGCACATTCCATTCAACAGAATGCGATTATGCATGTGCGGCCGAAAACTTTTCGCTCTTTACGAGTAAGCGGTGGGAGATAGAGAGCTGTGTTTTTTGTACTGTCCCAGGAACTCCACGTGCCCCTTTTGTAGGCCCTTGGGGTTCTTTCGCACATGTCGTGAGGAACATCTCCCCTTCACACTTTGTTCACCCAGAAGAGCACGCAAAAAGTTGCTCCACACCGACACTAACCCCCTTTTCTTTCGCTCAACGACAATCGCCAACAACCGCCTTCACTTCGCACCGCACCTCAGCCAACGGAAACGCTGATGCTGCCTCGTTTTCCAGCCGACAAGGACGCAGAAACCGTATCCGATAATTGCAAACTAACGCAGATCTCACCCTCACGAATTCTACTATTGTTCCATGCGATGTCTTGAATTATTTGTTTTTGACTAACAGCTATTGTACTGAGCCGAATCCGGGCCCCGCCATCGCAGCGAACACCCCCCCCCCCAGCTAGCCTGCAAACGTGCGATTGGCCCAGGGACGCACGTCGACCTAGGCCCTGCGGGTCGGCGGCGATTTCTGACGGGTATGTACATATGTTTGACTAAGGGGGACTCTCCACTCCTGCGGCGCGAGGGGCTTCCTGTTTTGCCGCCCTTATTTGGGTACGTCTACTTAGGTATCCGTTATTGGTTAGTATGCAGACCCCATGTGCTGCCTGCAGTTGTGATGAAATGAAAGAGGGCGCACAATCGCACTTCAAACTGTAGGAATAGGAGGGAGCGCAGAGGCCAACCCTTTAGGATAACAGTGAGCGCAGGAACCTGTGGAAGTAAGGAGATGAGGACCGCAGGCGTTGCAGCGTGGCACGAAGGTTGTACCGGAAGAGACCCCCTACGACGCCGAAGACCCAACACGAGAGGGCGCCGCGACAAGTATCTTGTTGATTGATTTCTACTGTATGCTGAGTGAGAAAGTAAGAGAAAAACCACAACAGTGACAGGACTTTCTTTTCAGCCTGATGCAAAGGAGTAATTCAAACAACGTTGAAGTCATACCATCAGCAATACTGCGCAAAGAGCATGACTTCTGCTTGTCAAGAGCAGATGTCAAATCGTCTAAGATGTTAAGAGCTGCACGTCCCGGACTAGCTAGATGACTAGGTGCCTAAATCAGATTCAATCAACGATTAAGCCAATCATAAAACAGACTGCTGAGGAAGGCGAGGCCGCCATCTCGTCCCAATTAATCTGAAAACAGAAGAGAAAACAAGCTGCAACAAGAGCACCAACCATTGACGGATGCGATAGTGTTGTCGCCTCAACAAATAATTCTTTGTTAGTATCGTATGTTTGAGCAGAAACTGTATCCGACTGAAACAGAGCTTTTTACCGAACTTCACCGTTTCGTCTCCTCAGCAACACCATTTTGTTAAATGTTACAATGGTTCGAATAACAATGGCTTTGTCTGTAGCCATGAAAGATAGCAATGAATGACCCTTTCAAAATCAAGAAGGCAAACATTTCAATAAGCTAAAGGGGACAAATGTTAGAAGCAAGCAGATAACGTAAGCATTTTGAATGTCAAATTAAACATCTCTGTACGTTTGTGACCTAAATTACCCTGCTGAAATACGCCTCCTATTTCAGCAGGGTAATTACTCTCTAACAAACTTCCTATTGGAACTGATAGCAGACTGCAGACAACAACAATTGGCTTCGACACAAGCCTTCAACACACAATGCTGGAATAGAGTAGTGTTGTAGATAGTCACTAGCAAATTCCAGGAACCGAGAACTTCATATCACCGTTTATCAAGTAAGGTGTTTATGTTACTGCATGATTTCCCTTTCGTAAGGTTCCACGGAAGAACCTCGAGGAGAGAAACCTGAGCTGATGGGGACCACGCCCTCTTTTGCGAAAACCGGGGACATTGCCATCGTCCGTATTCCCCATGCAGAGTACAGCATCGTGATCTGTGAAATGGCGGTGTCAGTACGACCCTCTCCCGGAAATGAATACTGGTACGACCCCCTTTCTTACTGGCTCCAACTGTTTGCTCTGACGAAAAGGATTGGATACGTAGCGGCTCGCAAGCGCTTCCTTCGATTCCACGGCAAATCAGCAGTGGAGCTGATCTGTTGGCGGGGTAGCTTCTCCTGAGGGTGATAGCTTTTTTTAGGAGTGGGGCTTTTAAGAAACGAAAAGCGGCATGTTGAAGCCGCAAGAAGTTGTGGGGTAGAGCCAAGGTGAGATTTAATATACTGGACAGCGACCACCAAAATCCACGCTGCTCAGCAACAAAACTTGTGTTATCCCACGCATGAGCAGAAATCAATGTCTACTTCCGGCAAGACGTTGCCATGCAAAGCACTTCAATATTGACGAAGAAGGAAGCATCGACTTGTGGCTGAACTACAGCTCCTCAAATTACTCTCAGAATCTCGCTTTTTCAATATTACCTATTCCCAAATCTATCACTTAATGAGGCAAAACTCCAAAATCTGTCACACTACGTCGACAAGGGACTCGATGTTTTCTTCAAGACCCAGTCTACCAGCTTTCGAAAACATTCACGACCAACCGACACGTTGACGGAAGACCAGGGATCCTAATGGGCAATGGGCACTGTTGAAATTAATCGTCAGTCTAGCTCTACTCTACGGAAATAATGACCTTTGTTTTCTGTGTTCCTGACCTTGTTAATCAAACTAATGAAAATGCAGAATCGGTAAGGATTACCAGAGCTAGCGGAGGCGGGGGAGCGGCTCTTTTCTTCGTCGCAGCATCACTTGTCGCTACTGCAACATCCTTGATTGGTGCAGGGAGTGTAGTCGCATTTGTCCACATGGTCTCCACTGACGCTATAAAGTGTGCAATCATTCCTTTCTCACTGAAGGAAACTTCCTCCAGAAAAATCCACTCTCATGCTTTAGACTCTAATTGTTCACCCTAACAGCGCACCGTTCTGTAACAAGTGAATTCGACAACGATTTCATTTTGTTAATAGAACTGATGTTTCGAATGGAATAAAACTGGATTGCGATAGTGAACGCGATTTAATACGAAACATAGTTAAACGGATATGGGGTTTCTAAGAGGTCCCATTGATGCGACCCTGCTTACCTTCCTCCTCGTCGTTTCAGTTACCTTTCACGAAAAGAGAACCTCAGCGCCTAATGAGCTACCATTTTCCAGAAGGGCGTCATACAAGTTGCGCATCTGTTGTTGTAACACATAACAGAGGATGTGTCACTGGATGTTTTGTGCTGTTCCTGTGTTAACGTCGATTTGAACAAATTCCAGTCTCATAACTTTGAGTTACAGCCGCAGATGATCACGGTGTGTGTAGTAATGTGAACTTCAATCAAGTCACATTCAGCTAAAAACAGGCCAGGAAGAGTTTGAAGTTAGAATGTGTGGAACGAAAGTGTAAAGTAGAACGAACTCAATTATGTCCAGCTGAGCGATAGCCAGCGCGAAACGAAGGGTCAAGATTGGCTTTGTTGATCTCATAGTGAGACTCGGTTAGGTAATACTTGAGATCCACTCTATCAGCCAGTATTGTATGTGAGATCGTAGTATGCTGATCAGGTTTTTTTTCCTGAATGCGCAACTCTTTGTCTTTTAACACACAAAGAGAGACTTGGAGTTTGGCTATGCAGGGCAACCATGTGGTCTCATCTAACGCGCAGCAGATGGGAGGACCAACTGCTGCCCAAAATCTCGAATCAGCCTGGCTTCGTGTCTGGCCGAATCACGCCCTTGGCGGTGAATCCGCTCGACCAGCCCACTGCATGATCAACTCTGTCTCGATCTCTTGACAGAGTTACACTTGGGAAACGTACTGAACGGTTACTCTCGAGTCGTGCTCAACGCGCACGTGAATGTTGGAAGCCTACGTGCAGTGTTGTACGCTGGAAGCATGATATCCGCTGAGATAATAAAGCGCATAGCGGGATGCTTTTCGTCGCGACAGCCCAGCTATCATCTCCACGTCTGACGCCGTCACATATACCACTGTCAGAAAGGTTTACTCCTCAAAGGTGTCGCTGATTTTCACTATACTATGCTCCTCAGACTCGGTAAAACGGAGAACCTCCGGAATGATCAATCGAACATGCCGTAACCACGTTAAAAGTTGCCATTTCTTAATCACTTCTGAATATCCATCCTACTACCACTCCTATCCTATCCTATCCAATATAGTCAGCTAGGTACAGTAGCGCTCAATAGTATTCGACCAAACACTTTTTCGCCCATAACTTTTTTCCCACCCAACCAATTCATTTCAAATTTTAGTATGTTAGACCTACCATTAGGCAGGGATGGCCCAGTGGTTGAAAGTGCGGACTCATGTCCGCACTCTGAACCGCGAGTTTGATCCTTGCCGAGGCACAAACCATGCCTCGCAAAAACTGCAAAAATGGGGACGATACCAGCGTCAGGCTGATGAAAATGGACGTGGAAAAAAAGGGTTGGACGGCTGATGAAAAACCCCGTCACAACAATCCTCAAGGAAACAGAAACAGAAAGGTGACGCAACGGAGTGCTCCAACTCCCGCGGCATCAAGTTGACTCCCCATACCATGAAGCTGTACGAGCGCCTGGTCAACACAAGGCTGAAGGAACTTGTCCCTATCTCGCAGGAACAGTTCGGCTTCATGCCCGAAAGGTCCACCACTGATGCCATCTGCATCGCTAGGCAGATTATGGAGTGGTCTCGATAAAAGTTTGTTTGTCTGTCCGGAAATTCGGTTCGAAATGAGGAACAACTTGGAGGGGATGGATCATCCCCTCCATGGATCATGGTGCGGATGGGTAGGGTATGGGACAAGATATCAATAGCATAAGAGCATCGTGACCCATCGTGGCCCACAGTGGGAGGGGCGTGCGCCGAAAGTCAGCGATATCACTGAAAAAGAAACATAATTCGGTTCCAAAGAAATCCCGATACAGAGGAACATGCAGTAAAGTGGGTGTGTGTCAGGACTCACCGCCGCTCTCAAAGCTAGGTCGCCGCGCTGGGAAGTGGGGCACCGCTCGTGGCGAATACATGCTTAAAAGACAGCTCCCGCGATAAAAGTGACAAGAATAATTGCTGATCAATTATGAAACAGTAGCTGATAAGTAATTCCTCAATGAGAGAAAAAAGCAACAAGAGCCCTTGAGAACACCACAAACGAAACTGTTCCCTTACAATTACACGGCCCTGCGATTCAGTGGCAACCCCTGGCTCGAAAATCTCTTTATCACATCTCTCAGTAGTGGATATCATCCTGCAATGAAAAAGAATACGAAAACCAATAAAACGAAGAAAAAAACTCCTGAAGGCAAAAAAAAAACTTAAGGACACGGCGTCCGAATTTGGGTTACGGTAGCGAGCGTTTTAGTGCATGTTGCTAGTCGAGCTTTTGCACCATAAAAATTGCATCACTCGTGATTTCTATGCGTTTTACCTTACGAGATGTTTGCATTTGACTGTATTTGCTCTCAATGAATGAAATGTGATAAAGGAGAACAGAGTTATCTAAAGGCACCATCGCGGTCTGCAAAAATTGACTTGCAATCTCCGATTGATGACTGCCGTCGCACTGAGCAGCTCTTCGTCAGAGGGCAGCTAGCAAGTGAGGCGGTCCAACTGAGCGGGCGATAGAACTAGAACTTTGAGCGGCTGCAGCTCGCTTCTCGCTCACTGTGGAGTTGCGAGAGTGGGATAGCATCTAGCTTGGGAGCTGAACTACCTGTGCAAGGAAGGACGTCCATGGACTACTCGAGCGCGGGGGCTGTCTTTTACATGTTTGCATGTTTGAACATGTTTATCTGTATGGACATGTTTTTGGCAGATGGAAGATGAGGAAAAGGAAGAACGCTAGAAGCGAACTGCGATAGAGTCATAGCGATTCTAAGTTGGCAAAATGCGAGGTCAGGAGTCACCGCCGCGCCACGCAACCAGGTCGCCGCGCGCGGTGACCAAGTTTTGAGCGCGGCGGTGATCCTAGCCGTCTCCTCAGTGAAGTTAGCAAAGGGTTGGCAGACCAAATGATGGTGACACACCCGAAATTGGCGGAACGTACTCGAAATAAGCGGCGCTTACCGTGTCTTTGGAAAAGCCATAATTTGATGCAGAGCAGCTCGGAGACGGGGGAAAAAGTGTGATAAGGTTGGCATTGGGTTAGTAGACCAAATGGTGGAGACACACCCGAAAGGGGGGGGACGTACTTGAGATGGGCGGCGCTCCTCAAAAAAGTCGGCAACTCGGTTCAAACAAGTCTATAGATCCGATAGTGAGCAGGGTTTTGCGGTTTTGCAGGTTTTTTGCGACCTTGTTCCATGAGGCAGGAGTATTCCATGAAAATTTAGGGTTTATCTTGGAAGTAAACAAAAACAGCGAAGCCTTACTAGCTTGTGCATTGAATTCTAGTCCTGCTTCAAATGTTTTGGTGTTCAAGCGCCCTAGCATGTATGCGCATTTTTCAAAAACAGGGAAAAACTGCTTGGTCACGCGAAAAGGCGCCTTGTCGCCAGTGTGTTAAAATTTCTAGAGCGGTTCCGGAGCACTCCAGACCTCCTCTGTGATACGGCCCGGCCTTGTGGGGTGTGGCTCTATTGCGCCTACCTGCTTTCGTATGATCAAATGCTCGACTATTACCCAGCTTTTCTCTCATCTGTCCACTTTATCAACGCTCCTTACCACCATTCCATACTCTGTAATAGTGTTGAAAACAGCAGGTATGATGCTACTGGTCAAAGACTGACCATCTGTTTACCATCTGTTCAGATAAAAGAAAAACCGGATATTAGATGGGTATACAAACATGTGGAAGAAGGTAAGCGCAGCGGAGCCGCGCCTGTCCGGCGAAGCCGGGCCGTATCTCTGGAGGGCGTCAAGCCGGCGAGTCGACTAGTTTTGAAATATAATGTGATCTTGATGAGCAAACTCGCATTTGTATCTAACGAATCTTCACTACAGAGATTTTTCCAGAAAGTTGTTTGAATGAAAGATTTCCAAAGAACCGCACGTGGAATCATAATAATGTCAAGCAGTGTACCTTCAAGGAACCGCATTCATCAGGCAAGTGATTTCAGCTCATTAGGGCTCCTGTTTTTACCCTATTTCTTTTTCGCTCACTTTCGCAAAAAAAAACGAAAATTTAGTGGACGATAAAGTGCTACTGAAACGCACAGTGATCTTCAGAATCAGCGTAACTTTCACCGCAGCTTGTGCGATCCTCATCAATGACAACCTCTTCTTCAATGTCCGCGTTTACCTCGGCCAGTAACGCCAAAACAGGATGGCGATCCGTTGCATTCGCTATGAAAGGATGCTGAAAGGAGTACTGCAACGAATTCTAGGATTCCAATCAGCCGAAGAATGATAAATGCTCATTCTTACCGATAACATTTGCTCGGCTGTTTTTCGCTCTGTAGGATTCTTCACCAAACATTGGCTGAGGAAATCGGCGAAAAATATGGACCAAATAGAGGGATTTTCAAGCGTAGGCGGTGCCGACTTCTGCACTTTTATAAGCACACGCATTGGTGACACCTGCAACAGAATCGAAACAGATCGAATCATTAAGCTGAAATAATGGCTGATCAGAAGGAACTGTCGTTCATCGCAATAAGTTTGCGGAGCCGTGCATCGCATAGGTAAGCAAAGCAGACCCAGTTCTGGGTGACCGTTCGTAATTACACCACTTGCGTCCTTACCTGGCTGCCGTCTACCCACGGCTCTTTTTAATGGTTTGCGAGTAAAGTTTGTTGGCTACACCTCCATTTCCTCACTTTCTGCATCGCTCACCTATTCGTCCTTTGCAATATGTGTACCATCTTCAGTGAAAAACCAAGTAGGGTTGTGACTGACGAACGAGACCACAGCCTGCCAGTTGAGACTCTGACTGTCGATGTGGACCATGTTCATGGTTGGGCGGAGCCTCCTTGAAGGTGGCACGCCTTCTGGTAGTGGGCGGGACAACGTGTAACGTAGGGGAAAGACTCGAAGGAATTTTTAATTCTGCAAAATAGGCAAAAGTGGGCGTGGTCGGGGAGGGGGTGCGGGGCTTGGGCTGCCAGTGTACAGATGCATATCTATGAGGCACATCCGTTTTGTGGAAGAACGTAGCGTACCTTCTTCCACATATTTCTGGACTTCAGCTGATACCGCCTGTTTTATCTGTATGCACGGTTAAAGCTTCTTGACTACTGACATCATACCTGCTATTCTGACACTATTACTGAGTACGGAATGGTGGTGAAGTGTGTTGATCAAGTGCACAGATGAGAGAGTAGCCGGGGAAGGGATGCCCGACCGGCCAACTTGGTCCGTATTACAGGAGGAGAAGCGATGGCATCAGCCGGCGAGCCGACTGGTATCTAATACGACGACAGCTGGTTGAGGGTATGGCTGCCTACGCTCTAAAACTCAGTAAGATTAGGTACGTCGTGCCCTCCGCCCACTGAGAGCGGGTCTCAACACACCACAGACACACGCAACTTTCGGCATATGTTTCTCCTTCCCAACGAAATTTTGAGCTCTTGACCCGAACTGTTAAATTTTGTAGCAAGACCAAGCATCTCCTCAGCAAGGACGGTCATTTTGGGGATGTCTCCCTCGTCCGCTGATCCCATGTAGACCTCAATGCTCTTGTCTCCGGTGTCTATGCTGCTCCGCAACCGAGTCGTAAATTCTTGACACTTTCTGCTCACTTCGATGCATGCGCAATGGGCGTGTCTACCTCACTTCAACAGTTGAGCTCCTGCATATCTCTGCTCACATGTTGACGGTGTCCGGAGTGCTCTGGAATTTTACAGACTTTTGTCCGGCTCGGCCTACCGAGACAAGCCCCACCCACAATATGTGCGCCCCACATTTCTCAATCGGCCAGACCTCGCTGACCTTGGTCCACTTTTTTCTGGTGCCTGGAGTGCTCCAGAACGGTTTTACAGATTTGATCGTCTGGCTCCGCTCACCTCGGGGCAGATCCCGCCCACAACATGTGTACCTCACATTTCTTAACCGGCGACCTTCACAGACCTCAATCCTCTTTTTCCCGGTCTCTGGAGCAGTTAAACGGTTTACAGATTTTTGTTTGGTTCCGCCCACCTCGGAGCAGGCTCCGCCTCCAACATGTGTGCCCCACTTTTTTTAACCGGCGACTCTCAGCCTTATCCCACTTTTCCCAGTGTCTGGAGTGCTCCGAAACCGTTTTACAGATTTTCTCATCTGGCTCCGCCCACCGCGGAGCAGGCTTCGCCTCCAACATGTGTGCCCCACTTTTTTTGACCGGCGACCCCCAGCCTGACCCCACTATTTCCTGGTGTTTGGAGTACTCTGAGACCGTTTTACAGATTTTCTTATCTGGCTCCGCCCACCTCAGAGCAGGCCCCGCCCACGGCATCTGTGCAGACCTTTCTTAAGTTGCGACCCTCTGCTGACCTTGGTGCAATATTTCCTGGTGTCTGCAGTGCCCTGAGACCGGTTCACAGATTTTCTTCGTCTGGCTCCGCCCACCTCAGAGCAGGCCCCGCCCACAACATGTGTGCCCCATTGTTCTTGACTGGCGACCCTTCGATGACATTGGTCCACTATTTTTCTGGTGCCTGGAGTGCGACGGAAAGGTCTTACAGATTTGCTCGTCTGGCTCCACCCACCTCGGAGCGCCCACAACATGTGTGCCCCATATTTTTAGATTGGCTAGCCCTCGCTGACCTTAATCCTCGTTTTTCCGGTCTCTGAAGTGTTCTGGAACCGAGCTGCAAGCTTTTGAAATGAGTATCCTGCGATTGAGGTTTAGCTCCGCCCACTGTGGGCGGTCTCAACACAAGTTAGGCGTGCCCACACTCGCCAGATATTGCCCTTCTGCATCGAGGTTCTTGCGATCACTACACACTCTCGCGAACAGAGTTACTGAATTTTGTGGGAAGCACCGCCTATCTCGAGAACGCTCCGCCCATTTGGTGTGTCTCCCCCAGTTAATCTGTCAACACCTTGCTAACTTACTGCACTATTCCCCCATCTCGAGGCTGCTCTGGACTTTCAGCCCACGTCCCTCCCATTGTGGGCGGGGCATATCACGCCTCACGAGTGCTATTTACATGTTGTCACATGCTCTACGCATCTCGATTTTGACACCAACCACTCCAAGTTGTTCTTGTAGAACCGAATTTCCGGGCAGACAAACAAGCAACAAACAACGTAGCAAATTATATACAGGGGGACCCCAAAAAACAGACACTTTTCTTCCTTGATTCGAGGCGCTATAAGTTACCCTTTATTGAATTCTGATCGGACATTTCTACAACCATATTAAAGAGCATGAAAAGAGCAGTGTGAAACACCATCATGATACTCCACCACAGCCTACTGGAGGAGCGCCATCGAGAGATTCCGCCACGCAACCGTGAGTGAGTACCTTAGTTCAGCGAGATCGTTGATTTCTCCGCCACTGTGTACCACCCTACTGAACTTCGCCCGAACCAGATGATTGAGGGGGTTTAATCCAGGTGACCTGCATAGATATGCCATTTCTTCAGGTACTCAACGCCCTTCCATTCCAAGTAGGCGAGAGTTTTTCCAACGCCCTTCGATTCCATGTGGTGTCATCCAAGTGCTGTAGCAGTACAAAGTTTCCAAGAAGGTACGGGCGACGACATGTGGGAAGGATATTCTCCTAATCGAGATCGATTTGCAATAAACAGCTCGTGAAGAGGAAAAATGTGGCATAATCGCCTTTGTGAAGGGATCTCATTTCTTGGGGAAGAGCTCTGGTTTCTTAGCTACAGGAGGAGCTGCATTTTTCTCGAAGGGAAAGGGGAGTGGAAGGTGACGTCTTCAGCAGCTCTACTGCGCCTGTTTCTTGTTTCTCAAAGAGCTGGTGAATTACCACAGTGTCGGTGCTCGGGCCTACTGCTTATCTGACTAGGGAAGGGCTTCAGTCGAAGTAGCCGTTTGTAATCAGATGTAACTCACTAGACGTGGTTTTGAACGCTGATCTCGAATCTGCATTTGAAATTTGCAAAGCGATTCTCTGAAAAGAATTATGATGGCTTGCTAGAATTAAAATTAAGGAAAACGGAGTCGAGCGCGGTTGCCAGCCAGTCGCATGAATAGCCGGGAAGAACCCTTACGTTCAACGGCGGCATGGTGTAGTGGCAATGGTCTTGCTTCGCGGGCATACCATAAAGGGTTCGAACTTCTGGAAGAGATCTTCTTTTGCATTTTGTAGGGAATGTCTCTTTTAAGTCTAGAAAACACTCAAACGCCAAATGGGTGCCATATTCGTGTTCAGGGAGCAAAACTACCTTTGGAGGCAAGTTTCTAGCCAGTAGTGATGTTTTGACCTAACTATGAAAAGTGCGGTAGCTGTTGACCGAATGATGGTCACCAAAAGTTCCAGGGCCAGTCTCTTGTCAATTGCTTGTCTTTGGACGGAATTTACTTTTAACATACCAGGAACAACTGGCAGCAGCTTAACAATTGAATGCGTAAGAGTGCAAGACGACGGCTTTGTGCAGGAGAATGTATCTGCAGCCCGAATAGGCTGTGAACATTCAACTGAACTCAACGGACATGCTTCACTGTTTCGAGACAGGTCAACAATGGCACGTGTTGCCCTAGAACACCTCCCTAGGGCGTAGTTCGCCCCCATAAATACGAATTATGGTATTCGCTCAGCGGAACCTCTCTGGCGGCGCATAGCGAGCACCTGTACATCCTAAAATTCTCATCATTCCTAGATCATGACGCACTGAGCGCGCCAGAAAGCGAACGCAAACTGTTTTTCAGGCAAGTCAAGGAGAGCGCTAATGTAGAAGCGAGGCCACAACCACTTTTCGCCACGCTTGCGCTGGAAGCAAAAAATGTTAAGCTCAACAAGGATCCGATCCCATGACCTGTTGCGTGGTAAACGCGGACGGAAAAGCTCCATAACTCCGTTCAGAGAATCGCTTTGCAAATTACAAAGGCAGATTCGAGATCAGCGTCCAAAATCACGTCTAGTGAGCTACATCTCATTATAAATGGCCACTTCGACCTGACGACCTTCCCTAGTGAGATCGACTCGCTAGTCACCTTGCGAGGTTGCGTCTTTGGGAAGGGCTTTGATTTCTATAATAGGAACTTCGATTTTCTCTAACCGGGAAGGTTCGCCAAGCCTTCACGGAACTTTGAATAGAGACCTAGGCAGTTTAGTGGCTCTATTGTTTACAAATATGGAAACTAAAACTGCTATCTGCATTTCGCAAGCAAGTAATAAGCTCCTCAAATTTAAAATGGTGTGATGCCCATGCATTATACTCGTGACACATAAAGACTTCCGCATGATAGAGCCACAAGGATGTGGCCTTACTTGGGGCACGATGTCAAAAGTGTACGGCTCCTTGGAATGGTTTCTTCAACGATCGGAGCGCTATGCAGTTGCAACGATCGGATGGCCTAGTGGATAGCGTGGAGGATTCTAAATCGTACAGTGAGGGTAGGGTTGGTGGTTCAATTCCACGCAGAGTGCGTCATTTTGCATTTTTCAGCTTCTGTCCTTC